CCGATGGACACGCTCCTATGAATTCCATATCCTCGTCCTTCTACATTGGACTATTGGTTTAATGTTCTACATCATGTGTCAAATCCTGTTATGCAAGACAAATGCACATGAAAAACATATACTTATCTAAACAAGTAGGTACTCTTGTAAAAATCATCTCTCACACCAGCATATACGGCCTGCCTTTATGTTAACTCAATGATTCAGAGGGAAACCTTGAGGGGAACAAAGCAGCCGCGATTCATTCAAAAGACGCTCGATTTTTCACGACTGGCTGAAGGAAAAGAGCCTGGGTCTCAGTTCAGAGCCCGGAATGGATTTCGTCTCGCACCAACGTTGGTTTCGTGAGCACATTTAAAGGTTGGTCACGAGAAAGAAAACAAAAACAACCGGCAGCCTTCAGAGGCGATGACAAAGGAGGCCCAACCCCGTTGCTTCCTGGCGTACTACATGGATGGAATCACATTACCTGGTTATGAAGACAGTAATCCCGGAACATATTAAAACCTATCGCTGAGTGTTTTCTGCTGTAATGTTGTTTTAACCCAGATAACAATATCCCTGTGGCTCGAACAGAATATTACACGGCGGGAAGGGGGCGAGATTAAAAAAACTCAAACGTATAAGTAAGTGTTTTTCACCCACCCACCTCAACCATCCCTTTGTGTAAACACCCTGTTCTCAACATCCGGTTTAACCGTGACAGCTTGTTGCAAATGCAGATGTCACAACCAATCCCGGAGTCATTTATCAAATGGCTTTAATTAGATATTTTATTCGTGGGTCTCTAATTCGATTTCCAATATCAACATTTCAGCCTTCAATCTGTTTCAAAGGATGTTTTTCCTGCCATCTCTAACACCCTATCCTTATTGCCTCAGCTAATTTCAACCGCAACCTGAAGCAGCCAGCAATGAGAGATGACACAGAGCGCGTCAGAAAGACAATGCCATATGTAATCACATTAAAAGACAGGGGGCGAACCGCTCCCCCAGACCCCCCCCAGGCCACCTGGGGCAAAGAGCCATTACGTTCTCCGTGGAGAACACAAAGCCGTACTCCATCAAGCACACGCTGCCTTAAATCCCAAACAGCGACCTGTTCACTAAGACGGCGCCACCGTGATTCAGCCTGATGCGGTGCACTTCTAAAACAGTACACTAGGGGCCGAACGTTTGGGCCGCGGCCTCTGTCCGCCAGCTGAGTAATGGTAAACAGGCCAAGCTCCATCTCTATCTATAACATCTATCATCTGTCCACCATTGTACAGTACATCTGGTTCCAGAACCCCAGCCACAGGTGACAGGTCCTGATGGAAGATGCTGTACGGGCAGCAGAACAAAGTTGTATGTGAGATGTCTATACGCCACCAGTTGTCATACGAGTCTGGTTTACACCTGGGAGCAATTTATGTGTATATTTTTTACCCACTGTGGTTCACTGTTTTGCTTTTTAGCATTTCCGTCGTTGCGTACTCTGCTCGATCTCAATAGGCCAATTGGGCATGATTGAGATTTTCAATACGCAGCAGCTTATGCAAGATTGGAGCAATTTTGTTTTGTTGTCGTTTGTGTTTTCTTTTCAGTATTACAGTGACACCTCATGCGATGTTTCTCGAATGGGAATGTTGACAAGCCAGTAATTTCTCTGAGCTTACTCAAGATCTGAGCAATTTTGTTAGTTGTTTTTTCCTTGCATTTTATTTATACAATGACAATTTACATAATGTTGCCACATCACTCAGGCAGTTATTTTATGTTGCATTTGAAATGTTGATTCTAATGTACGGTACAAAACATCAGATTAAACTCTTGTGGGCCCTGGCCCAGTCAAAATTAGCCCAAACCGTAGAGAATCGGTTCGATTAAGGACATAGCATGACACAAACATCCATCTCACGAAATAATTAACAAAACGCCCACAACCAAGAATGAATTACCCTGGATAAATGTAGTAAGGTTCCGGCATTGATACACAGAAACCTAACAGCTTTTAACCACTTGAGTCCACTTGTCAGTCCGTTTGGAGGCTAGTTAACATTGATTGCTAGTTACGTATTGTATCAGAACTTAGCGTTTTCACTGGGACATTTCTGTTGTTCTCAGAGAGCCAGGGCAAAATTATTGTTAAAATGACCATAGACAAGAGATTACACATTGGCCATATTCATAAAAACAACATGTTATCAAGAGAGCAATGGATGAGTTGGCAATCAGTTCAGTAAAACATGTCGAGATGTTAGGTGCAGTGATAAACAGTGCTCTGCACTAGACCACATTAAATCTACAACACATGAGCAAATTATGTTTGAATCAAAACCGAAACTCAGGGAGGGACCAGAGGAATCCAAGTTAACACCAGAACCAACTGATTTCAATTGAATAACTTAATTGTCATTATTTCAGACTGGCCACATAATATGAACTCGACATCAGCCATTTTTGCTATCGTTTCAGTATCCGAGACCAAGACCCTGAATAAGTGGTCGTGACACCAGACTTGGGCACTGCAATCTGGTTGATGAATGCTATGGGAGCACTCTCCGCGACTCCAAATGCATACTCTGGTATTCTGTCTGAACTGGCGTCGGGTTTATATAACATTGACGGACTACGAACAAAGTGTTAGTGCCCGGCATGTCCTAGGTGAAGCACAACATCATTTATAATAACAAAGCATTCAGAAATGTCACTGAACAAAAATTCACACAATGTCCTAGCGTGAAAGAGCAGCTCTATTGAAGTGGTAGTCCACAGAGAGTGCATATCGGCTCATCTCAATTCTGCCCACTTCTGTCACATTTACTGTGATTTATACACTGGGAGGTGTGAGGAGGAGCGTGTAGGTTTGATGAGTGGAGATTATGGTAATTTACGAGCAGGAGAAAAGCAGCGACAAATGTAACTAACAGTAAAAGCTCATCCGAATCACCAGCAGCTTTTCAGGAAGGAACATAATGAAAAATAGTCATGCTGCCTTTTCTTTTTTTACTCTCCTTTAAAGGTACTCTCGTTTAAAAACGAATACCACGCACACCAGATAAATCACATCTATTTGAATGATTAATGAAAATGTTAGACATTGAATAATAAATATATCATAGCGGCAACATTCCCAATATTCGCCAAAGACAGTAGGTTGACAATTGTAGACGATGCACCACAGGAAGCCCAATTAAGCCAAAGAACTGGATCTAAAATGGTACACTGTTCCTTACATGTAAACTACGCATTGACTAAATCCCTATGGGCTCAGGTTTAAAAGTAGTGCCCAGCATAGAAAATAGAGTGTTTGGTTTATCAAGCGCATTTATCCTGGACACCCAACTACCAGAACAATCATTCAGAAACCATTAACACACTACATGAAACAAAACCAGCCTTAACCCAGTTGGAAGGTGGAGACAGAAGGTTTACCACGTATCCCAAACGGTCCCCTATTCTCTTTATAGTGATGTGGACTACTTTAACTAAAGTCCACAGAGAATTGGGTGCCATTTAGGAACCGGAATTGGCTTTTATTCAGTAGAAACTAATTCAAAGCGGCAGCAGTATCTTTCTGACTGAGACGTGAAAAAAGAGAGACCCACTTATTGTTCAAGACAGGAAAATTCACACAGACTGGCAACACTTAACGCCTCCTCCTACTCTCTCGGTCCCTCTCCTCCTCTCTGTCACCCTGACTCTCTCTCTCCGTCGCCCTCCCTCTCAGCACCTCAGACAGATGACCTTTAAGTCTGACTCATCTCTCATCTCTCTCTCCAGCATCTCTCCACCAGCAGTCAGCAGCCGCCAGCCAGATCTAAATCGGTCAAATATGATTGCTGCATGATCACTCAAGCATTGTAAAGACCCGTCTGACAGCCTGACGTGAGTCAATAGTCCAATAAAGACCGCAGTTAATGATAAGTGCAGTCGGTTCAAACTGCCAAATGGTTCATTCTCAGCACGGGGTCCCGTGTGCTCTGCCAATGGAGGTAATCCACACAGATGAGAAACTGACAAAACATTGCATACTATTGTACAGTGCTTGCATGTGTCTAGAGCTTATCTTTATCGGTGTGTGTTGTCTATCTGGCTACCAATGTGTGTTTGTGCGAGTGTGTGTCGGTGTGTGTTGCTGGCTTGTGTGCAACAGAGCAGAGAAACCCTTGCAGCACAGTTCCACAATGGTGACCACCTCGAGTGGAGATTCACACTTAGGGGAGTCTTTCCACTGAAATCACACTTACAAGAAATGTCTCCGATTACTGCTGAAGACAAGGGTTAGCACTCTGGGAAAAACCTTGAGTTTCAATCGTCCCCAAGCCCTGGGAACATTTCTCAGATTGTCCGGATTTTGTTCATATTGCTTGTATTAGGACAATTATGTTCTGTTCTTCAAAGAGTGGATATTGGCTGCTGCTTATTACAAACTATCCATTATTTTCATTCAATTCTTTTTTAACAATATGTTCTGTATGAGCCTGAAAATGTCCAGTCCCTTTGGTGTAAAACGATCAATAGTTGGAACGCGTGTTTCAAACAACACTGCAGGAATTAATTCTACGGTAAGCTCAAGGGTCTGACATGGATTGACAAGATTGGCATGTCCTGTCCAACCGTGTCATTTACTGTTGTTACTATCATTTAATAAGAAGTTATTCACTTTATTGAATGAACCCCGAATGATTTAAAGGGTCAGAGCAGGGATCGAACACCCGACCTCCAGTGGGTAAAGGTGTCTAAGCCATGAACCTCACATCTGGACAAAGAGCTCGGCAAAAACGTGGTGATAATACCCAGCTTTCAACACAGTCGCACGTTATTCTGAGAGCTCAGTACGCTACAGTCAAACAAAAAAATACTGTTAAGACAACATGTCAACTTGAGATTTAAAACATTCAGTTTATAGGACACCAGTAGACTAGGCTAGGAGAACAACAGCTGAGCAAGACACTCTAGTAAGCCAGCCCAGGAACACACAACTGGTGACAGGGGCTGATGGGTAAATCTGTGATTTACAGAGGCTCAGTGGTAGAGTGTATGCTTTGTATGTATGATGTCCTGGGTTCAATACCCAGTTTCTCTCCAGGTCGCCGTTGCAAATGAGAATTTGTTCTCAATCGGCCTACCTGGTAAATAAAAAAAATATATAGAATACCTAAAGTCACAGTATTACGCCACATGAAGCGGCTGAAATACATTTTAAAGGGTGATATATGAATGCCTCCAGGAGGTAGGGGATGCTGGACATTGGCCAGTTGCTGCCTGTATGGGCTGTTTGATCGCGCCGCCTCATTCTCGCCTAAGGAACAGAGCCGACAGAGTCCAGACTGGAAATAAAAAGGAGCCTTCAGGCAAACCTGACCGACTCCGACTCCCGCATGGCTTTTCCTGCTCTTCAGATGCAAGCTGACAAGAAAAGATGGCACCAGGCGGTTTGTTGAGTCACTGGCAGTACACAGCGCTGGCAGGCAATGCCCACTCAGTGTAAACTAGCCATTCCACTGTGGGATGCTATCAAAGCGCAAGAGGCAGGGCTGTGTACCCACCTAGAGCGCATAACCAGGGCCAAGCTCCACCTGAAGGTGGAGAGAAACCAGTTTAGCACACTGAGAATCCTAGTAGGTACATACTGTCACAGAGGGAAGACGCTTCTGTTTCCTGACAGCCCAACGGGCACATATGTTTCAAGCTGTGCACACGAGAGCCTGTCTGCATCTCTCCATCGCCATTTTATTTCTCTATCTGTTTTTCCACAATTTTATCACATCTAATTTGTTCATCGATGTTCTGATTCATTGTAGCAACTGCCAGTGGACCACAGGACAGTCGATGTTGACATGTGCGGTCAGAAGGAAGAACTCTCCTTATTCCTCAATTAAGTTCACAGATTCTCAAGCTACCACAACAAGGTGCCGGGGTGTGGTGAGGCAAGGCAGCAACAGCTAAACCCCCAGAACCGAAGTAACCCCCAGAACCGAACAGTCCTCCGCAGAACCCCACCGCTCATTGGCAAGCAGAACTTTAAATGCTGATCTCCAAATGACGCAGCTATATGTAAGAAAGCAACATTACCGGGTAACCAAGCAACAAGCTCCTCTACCGTTTTTGGTATACTACAGCTGTTATGCCACAGCTACTCTGTATTCTGTTGCGCTTAAGAACACCAGTCATGGTATATTGGCAATATACCAAATCCCATTTGGGCTATATTGGGAAAATATAGAGCAGAGAATCTGATTGTCCTGTTTCAAGAAAAACTTTTAAAAAGTGTCATTTAAAATCCACAGTTAGAGTGATCAAGACTAGGACAAATGTTATTTCACTCCTATCTCTTCAATAATAAGCAAGCACTATATGTTTTATTATCAAAAAAATGATCTACCAAATGGCGTTCGATTCCCTAATGTACTACTATTGACCACAGGTTCTGTTCAAAGGAGTGATCTAGGCAGGAAATAGGGTGCCATTTGTAAATGGGGATTGGAATTATGATTTCGGGGGGGAATTGGAAGTGAAACAGCTGATCTATAACCCAAGGTGACCTCATCAACGGAATGTTTCGGTTGTCATGCCAAATCCGATGGGAGTGTCACTCAATCCCAGGGAGCCAACAGGAGACCCTGACACAGCAGACACTAGTAGAAACAGACATTACTGACAGCTCATGATCCGTGACCCTGCAGACAGAAAAATTGGTGATCTCATATTCCATCTGGAAATCTACCCGGAGAGCGGTAACTAAACTGCAGCCGTATGAGCCACACAGCGCCCTATTCCCTTATAAGTGCACTACGTTTGACTTGGGCCATTGGGGCTGTGGTCAAAATGTGTGCACTACAAAGGCAATAGCAAATGCGAAAGATGACCCGTAGCTGATCCGTAAATCAACATTCGGCTACATTCATAAGCTAAGGTTGCAAAGGTTACATACTCTGTTGGATCCTTCCAGGCAAGGGAAGCTTTGAGTTTATTTATCACATATGTGGGCAGTCTTGTCAATGCCATCTGAACTCTAGAACATCTATGTGGTTATATATCAGTGTGAACAACCCTAAATAGTGACAGTTACTGCGCCATAACATTGCCATTAAAACCTTGTTATCTAACTTTACTGCTCAATAACTCTCATACAAGCAGCCGAAATGGTCAGAAAGGTGGCTGGCCTCTCCCTTAGGGATAGGGTGAGAAGCTCAGTCATCCGAGAGGAACTCGGAGTAGAGCCGCTGCTCCTTTGCATAGAAAGGAGCCAGTTGAGGTGGTTCGGGCATCTTGTACGAATGCCACCTGGGCGCCTCCCTAGAGAGGTGTTCCAGGCACGTCCAGCTGGGAGGAGACCTCGGGGAAGACCCAGGACTAGGTGGAGAGATTATATCTCCACACTGGCCTGGGAACGCCTCGGGATTCCCCAGTCAGAGCTGGCTAATGTTGCCCGGGAAAGGGAAGTTTGGGGTCCCCTGCTAGAGCTGCTACCCCCGCGACCCGACCCCGGATAAGCGGTTGAAGATGAGATGAGATGAGGAGATTATGACTGACAACTAATGAAAACCCCAAAATCAGTATCTCAGAAAATTATAATATTTTGAAAAGGTTCAATATTGAAGACACCTGGTGCCACACTCTATTCAGCTAATTAACTCAAAACACCTGCAAATGCCTTTAAATGGTCTCTCAGTCTAGTACTGTAGGCTACACAATCATGGGGAAGACTGCTGACTTGACAGCTGTCCAAAAGACGACCATTGACACATTGCACAAGGAGGCCAAGACACAAAAGTAAATTGCTAAAGAGGTTGGCTCTTCACAGAGCTCTCTGTCCAAGCACATTAATAGAGAGGCGAAGGGAAGGAATAGATGTGGTCGAAAAAAGTGTACAAGCAATAGGGATAACCGCACCCTAGAGAGGATTGTGAAACAAAACCCATTCACAAATGTGGGGGAGATTCACAAAGACTGGACTGTAGCTGGAGTCAGTGCTTCAAGAACCCCCAAGCACAGACGTATACAAGACATGGGTTTCAGCTGTCGCATTCCTTGTGTCAAGTCACTCTTGAACAAGACACAGCGTCATAAGCGTCTCGCCTGGGCTAAAGACAAACAGGACTGGACTGCTGCTGAGTGGTCCAAAGTTATGTTCTCTGATGAAAGTACATTTTGCATTTCCTTTGGACATCAAGGTCCCAGAGTCTGGAGGAAGAGAGAAGAGGCACAGAATCGACGTTGCTTGAAGTCCAGATTAATGTTTCCACAGTCAGTGATGGTTTGGGGTGCCATGTCATCTGCTGGTGTTGGTCCACTGTGTTTTCTGAGGTCCAAGGTCAACGCAGCCGTCTACCAGGACGTTTTAGAGCACGTCATGCTTCCTGCTGCTGACCAACTTTATGAAGATGCAGATTTTATTTTCCAACAGGACTTGGCACCTGCACAGAGTGCCAAAGCTACCAGTACCTGGTTTAAGGACCATGGTATCCCTGTTCTTAATTGGCCAGCAAACTCGCCTGACCTTAACCCTTTAGAAAATCTATGGGGTATTGTGAAGAGGAAGATGCGATACGCCAGACCCAACAATGCAGAAGAGCTAAAGGCCACTATCAGAGCAACCTGGGCTCTCATAACACCTGAACAGTGCCACAGACTGATCGACTCCATGCCACGCCGCATTGCTGCAGTAATTCAGGCAAAAGGAGCCCCAACTAAGTATTTAGTGCTGTACATGCTCATACTTTTCATGTTCATACTTTTCATTTGGCCAACCTTTCTAAAACTCCTTTTTATTTATTGGTCTTAAGTAATATTCAAATTTTCAGAGATACTGAATTTGGGATTTTCATTAGTTGCCAGTTTTAATCATCACAATTAAATGAAATAAACATTTGAAATATATCAGTCTGTGTGTAATGAATGAATATAAAATCCAAGTTTCACTTTTTGAATGGAATTACTGAAATAAATCAACTTTTTGATGATACTCTAATATGACCAGCACCTCTATATATACACACATACAGAACTGTTCAAAAGTGGTCACTAAAAATGTGCTTGTTTAAAAAAAAAAAATATTCTTGACCTTTAAAATGGCATTCAATTGATCAGAAATACAGTGTAGACATTTTTTATGTGGAAATGACACAGTTGTACCTGAGAATGGCGGATTTTAGCGGAATTACTAAATAGGCATACAGAAGAAGCCCATTATTAGCAACCATCACTCCTGTGTTCTAATGGCACATGTGTTTGCTAATCCAAGCTAAAAAATGTAAAAGGCTAATTGATAATTAGAAACCCTTTTGCGATTATGTTTGAACCACAGAAAACTGTCGTGGTGATTAAGGAAGCTTTAGATTACAGCCTCAAAATGGCCAGAAAAGGCCTTTTGTCTATTCTTGATCTGGGAAATGAATGCTATCACATTGAAATAGAAGATCATGTAAGAGATTGAAACTGAAGATCTCATACAACGATGTGCACTAATTCCTTGACTGAACAGCGCAAACTGGCTCTAACATGGGCTGAAATATGTGCCACCAGAAACTGAATTTGAATCATTTATATTTGAAATTGAATTCATTCGTTTGAAACTGAATTGGTTCGTTTGCAATCAAATTTAAACGTAACTGAAAATTCCACTCTTTCATTTCTTCACATTCAGTTCTCACAATTCAAATTCAGATCTCCAAATTCAGATTCAAAATACTGTGACCGACATCTGGGTAGTTTAAGGATGAAGGAAGAGCAATTGAGCACAGATACACAGGACTCCTCTTCCGACAATTATGGATATATAAGAGTGGAATTTTCAGTGATGTTTAAATTTGATTGCAATTCAGTTTCAAACGAATAAATTCAATTTCAAATTATGTGATACAAATTCAGTTTTTCAATGCATGTATTCAAGTTTAGCAATTCAAATTCAAATATAAATGATTCAAATTCAGTTTCTGGTGGCACATATTTCAGCCCATACTCTAACCAAAATAAAAAGAGGATTGGGAAGCCCCGGTGCACAACTGAGCAAGAGGACGAATACATTAGTGTCATGTTTGAGAAACAGACGACTCACAGGTTCTCAACTGGCAGCTTATTTAAACA